AATTAAGAGTATGTGATTTCACCATCACTGATTCCAGACATAAGTTGCGAACATTGTATAATCAAACAAACAAAAGTACTTCAGAAAGTCGTATTCAAGCAACCTGTCTTGCCAGAATTTCTGTCTAAACAGAGCGATTAATTTCTGTACCAGACCAGAACAACAAATTAACAGTCAGAATCTTAACAGCAAATGGCATACAAACGTGATTCACTTTATTGTTATGTTCCGTTGACTCAAAATTCTCTGCCTACAAAATGATATAACAGTGTACGAATCTCAATACTGGGACAATAAAACATTAAAACTCGTCTACAAATTCCCGTGTTAGCAGAAAACAGAAAGATCAATCATAGCAATCAAAAGCAAGAACAGGATTGAAGATGGAAATGAAAACCTTTAACATTGGCTTTTATATAGGATTCATCACTATCAGGGCCAAGATTAACATTCTCAACAGGCTTGTAAACCACACCCTTAGCTCTGAACAACCCCATGAGAAAGCTGGTAGGTTTTAGGGAATGAAGCAGGACTGAATACCGGCAGAGGTTAGCATGGAAAAAAAGAAACCACCACCTCAGAAGGGTACATATAGACAACAGCTGAGACCAAGAGGGCGGAGATTACAAGGAAAATGTTGTAATTGTAACTTGATTGAAATCTAATATCGAGCTGCTCCCTTCATAGATAGGTATGGAATGAAAGCTGTAGACAAAGAAGAGAGAGAGAGAGAGTCGTTTTCAGGTAAGGTAGGATATTGATATTGGGCTGAGAAAATCAAAGAAGTTGATGGACGTTAGCAACTTTTGTTTTCTTGGCGGGTTGTAACTGCCAGATGATTCTGGCTCGTTTGGTCTCTTTCCTTTTTATTCTTGCTTACTGCCTTTGTCGTGTTCTGTTCCTCCATCATATGACTATCTCAAGCTCTTTTATGTTTCTTGTCTGATATTCTAATCTTGATATATCCCTTCACTCCTATCATAATTAAAAACAGATAGTTATCTCACTCAACTTCGTACTCTAGGAAGAACGAGAGTCATGAGGTTGTTGGATCAATAGCGTATATTATTTGTGTGTGTGTGTAATAATGTTATTTTAATTTGTTATTATAATTTTTCAGTTTTAACTCAATTAAATTTAAATTACGTTTAGACATATCAATTAAATCATAAATCAATAAAATTTAACCAGATAAAAAATTAATTAAATTTAAAACATGATATGAATCAATCCATTAGATAAAATTTAATAAAAATACACATAAAAATAAAATGATTAGCATAATTTTATATAACTGATACTTTGAGAAATTGAATTGAGATTTAACGAAATCTCTATTATATGTTTAGAATGGTAGTTATTATTATTTTTCAAAATACTTTTCATTTAAAAATATATTAAAATAATATTTTTTTAATTTTTTAAAAATTATTTTTTAAATCAGAATATTAAAATAACTTAAAAATACCAAAAAAAATATTAATTTAAAGCAAATAACAAATAATTTTTTTAAAAAGTATTTTTTAAGTTAAATCCAGATTTTTTAAGTAAAAAAATTTAGATTTGAGAATTTTTTTTGTTTTTTTGAAAAAAGAAATTAATGGTGACTGAGCTTCATTAATTACAATGATTGAGCCGCAATTCATTAACTAAATCTATATTTTTCAACTATTAAACGTTTTTGCATCACACTCTAATTGCAACCAAGTTCAGTTATAGTTTAACCAACTATTTATGAATTTCAGTTATTAGAATTCAAGATTGCGCTTATTGGATAGCTGGAGTGATATTTTTTAAATTTATTATTGTTACGGAAATTATTTGACCGTTGCGGAAAATTATATAATGGTGACGTACGGAGTGTTTTGAAGGGTAGGTATGCGAACGAGCTTTTCAACTGTTAATTCAACTTTTAGGTGATGTTTGGTATTGTTGTTTAGTTATATTTTAAATGTAATTATTTCTAAAAAATTATTTTTATATTTTTTAATTATTTTTTATGTATTGATATTAAAAACAATATTTAAAAAAAATATTATTTTGATATATTTCTAAAAAACACTTAAAAAAACAATTTTTACCATATTTCTAAATAAGCAAAAAATTGACATTATTAGCCTTAAAGTACGGTTATGTAAAAAGAAAAGGAATAAAATAATCATAAACTTATAAATTTATCTTCTTTTTTTGCAAAACATTTTTAATGGGTATATCGGATTCCTATTTGAGAGTATCTCTAATGGAAAAGGCAATTTAGAAGAATTAAATTGTTGATATGATTATGCTAATAATATAAATATAATTTTTTTATATTTTAAAAGTATTTTTAAGAAAAAATAAAAATATATTTTTTATTTCAAATTAATTTTTTATGTTGTTTTAATATATTGATGTTAAAATTAAATTTAAAAAATAAAACATATTATTTTAATATATTTTTAAATAAAAAATATTTTAAAACATAAAATATAAACACAATCTCATTACATTCATCACATAAAATTTCTTCATTCACTCAACAAGACCTTCCCTATTTTTTTTACATTTTAAAAATATTTAAAAAAAAATTAAATTTTTTTATTTTTTTATTAACTTTGAATTAATATTTTATTATTATTTTTAGATATTATTTTAATATATTTTTAAATAAAAAA